AATCATTATGATTACGCTATTATTTTTTTAAATTATTAGGCTATTATTATTATTATTACTATAACTGTAACTACTGCTACTGCTTCTGCTACTGCAGCCGTTGCTTCTACTACTAATAATGCTTAATGGTAATATGTTGTGGGGTATTTAAGGATATAGTTTTAGTTACAGTTTTACGGCACTTGCAACACAATAAGGTCATATAAGTGCCGAAGAATAGAGGTGTTACAAGAGAGTAACAAACACAAAAAAGAAGGAGGGGAGATAAAGGCGATAGTTGTTGGATAGAAAAGAATTGGGATGAGCTAAAAATAATCAGGGATGGGCTAGAAAATATTATGGATAAATTAAAAAATACTGGGGATTGGTTAGAAAATATTACATTTGAGCTAGAAACTACTGGGAATGAGCTAAAAATATTAAGGATAATGCAGAAACTACTGGGGATGGGCTAAAAATATTAGGGATGTTCTAGAAAATAACAGAGATCATCTAAAAAATAATGGGAAGGAGATAGAAAATATTAAAAATGATCAAGAAAGTACTGAGAAAGAGCTAGAAAATATTAGGGATGAGCTAAAAAATACTGGAGATGAGCTACAAAATAATAAGAATAATGTAGAAAATACTGGGGATGAGCTAAAAATTATTACGGACGGGCTAGAAAATATTAGAAATAATCTAAAAAATACTGTGGATTGGCCCAAAAAATATTAGGGATTTGCTAAAAAATATTCTGGAAGTGCATTAGGAATGAGCTACAAAATAAGAAGAATAATCTCGTAAATATTGGGGATGATCTAAACATAATCAGGGATGGTCTAGATAATATCAGGGATAATCTAGAAAATACTGGGGACGGGCTGGAAAATATTAGGGATTTGCTAGAAAATACTGGGGGTGAGCTAGAAAATATTAATAATGAGATAGAAAATAATAAGGATCACCTAGAAAATACCTGGAATGAGCTAAAAAAAAGTGGGGATGAGCTAGAAAATAATTAAAATAATCTTAAAATACTGGGGATGAGCTAGAAAATAATTTTTAAAATATTCTAAAATATAACGAGGATGAGCTAGAAAAAAATTTAAAATAAGCTAAAAAGACCTGGGGAAGGGTTAGGAAATATTAAAAATAATCTAGAAATTACTGCAGAAGGGCTATAAAATATGAGGGATTTGCTCGAAAATATTCTGGAAGTGCTACAAAAATAGTAGGAATAAGCTACAAAATAAGAAGAGCAATCTAGTAAATACTGGGGATGAGCTAAAAATAATCAGGGATGGGCTAGATAATATTAAGGATAATCTAAAAAATACTGGGGATTGGTTAGAAAATATTACATTTGAGCTAGAAACTACTGGGAATGAGTTACAAAATATTAGGGATAATATTGAAAATGCTGGTGGGTGGGTTAAAAAATATTAGGGATGTTCTAGAAAGTAACAAAGATCATCTAGAAAATACTGGGGATGAGTTAGAAAATATTAAAAATGAGCTAGAAAGTACTGGGAATGAGCTAGAAAATATTAGGGATGAGCTAAAAAATACTGGAGATGAGCTACAAAATAATAAGAATAATGTAGAAAACACTGGGGATGAGCTAAAAATTATTAGGGATGAGCTAAAAAATACTGGAGATGAGCTAAAAAACAATTTTAAAAAAGGTCTAAAAATACTGTGGATAAGCTACAAAATATTCAAAAGGGGATGGAAAGTACTTGGGATGAGCTAGAAAATATTAGGGATAAGCTAAAAAATACTGGAGATTAGCTAGATCTAGAAAATAAAAAAAACAATCTAGAAAATACTGGGGCTAAAACAAATTTGGGGATAATGTAGAAAATACAGGAGATGGGCTACAAAATTACAAAAAGTATCTAGAAAATACTTTGGATGAGCTACAAAATATTAAAAATGATCTATAAAGTACAGGGGATGAGCTAAAAGTATTAGGGATGAGCTAAAAAAATACTGGGGATGAGCTACAAAATTACAAAAATTATCTAGAAAATACTTTGGATGAGCTACAAAATATTAAAAATGATCTATAAAGTACAGGGGATGAGCTACAAAATATTAGGGATGAGCTAAAAAAATACTGGGGATGAGCTAAAAAATAATAAAAATAATCTAGTAAGGATTTGCTAGAAAATATTCTGGAAGAGCTAGAAAATATTAGGTTAAGCAAGAAAATAACAGAGATATCTAGAAAATACTGTGAATGAGCTAAAAAAATAGTGCAGATGAGCTAGAAAATAATAAAAATAATCTAAAAAATACTAGGGATGCGCTACAAAAAAAAAAAAAAAAAAATCTAAAAAAAAAAACAACAGGGGGAAGAGCTAGAAGATAACAAAAAAATAATCTAAAAAATACAGAGGATGAGCTAGAAAATATTAGAAATAATCTAAAAGTCCTGGGGACGGGCTAAAAAATATTAGAAATAATCATTATGGTACTCTGCAACTGAACAAAGTGAGAAAGAGTAAAAGTGATA